CTCCCCACTGTTGCTAGTCCCAGATGTTTTACTACCCTGTTGTTTCCTCTAACCCTCACCACACCTCCCTAAATAGTCTCTTCATTAATAACTCTCATTAAACCCTTTGAGTATGCCATCTCTTTGCTGCCAGATACACTGTCCAATTCAATACAAAGTATCTGTTTCATAACTATTCATTTAAAAGTTTAATTAATGGGGTCTTAAATTGTCCTTGAGATGCTCTGAAGGAATCCCAAGCATAAGAAAGTTTGCCAGGACAATAGTCTATCAGTAATTACAATTTTAAGTTGTTCATTTTTCTAACTGAATTATAACATCTGTCCCCACTAAAGAGAAACAAAATCCTCACCCATTAAGACAACAACAACAACACACATGTATAGTGGCTATTCATATTTGCATACACAAAGTAACATTTACAAAAAATGTTACAAAAATACCTTCAAAGAGAGAAAAAGGTGTTCCAGACACTTTTAAAACTAATTAGCAATGGCAGACAGAAGAATAGAGACATTTTTCATAAGGTAATATAATTCACTGCAGTATTGAAGGTCAATTAGATGTACAGATCATTACAGGAATAAATAAATGGTAAGAAGAATTTAATTTTAAAAGTATATGTGCCCATTAGGAGCACATTTGTTTTATTTATAGTCTATAAAACCTATTACCATGGCTGTTTTTAGAAACTATATCAGTGAAATGCCAAATATCTGGACTGATCAAAAATACTTAGTCAATCTTCTGGAAATTTGCTAATATGGAAAATAAATATCCAAATGACTGATATCCAAAATGCATTTATCACTTTACATCTGGCTCCTTTATACTGTGTGTATACATAGATCAACTTAATTATGACCAAGTAAGAGCTGGGTTAAAGTTGCTAATAGAAGGAACTTTCCTCTGTATGTAAATCACGTACTTTCACACTTCACTGAATTAGATAAATTAGGGAAAGCAATAAAATGAATAATTTTTAAAACGCTCCACCAGTGCCCTCAAATTGGTTAAATAACTGTACTTGATGCAAATCTTGAAGTTCTTTCTCCATCTTGCAAATCATCAAACCCTACAGAATAATTTCTGCTATAGGCAGATGATGAAAGATTGTGGGAAATAAAGCTAAAGTTCCCCACCGAGTGGGCTTGAGATTTTTCACATAAATTAAAATTGGTTGTGATTACCATTTTGCTATAAGTTTGACCTCTTCTCACTTTACTCATGGATGAATGTCACAAAGAACAGAGGACTGGGGATGGCGCAATACACATTACTGCTCCTGGAAATACCACAAAGAGTCTTAGATACAGAGACACAATAGTGTCAGTTCTATATTCTCACTGAAACAAAGATACAAGAGCAGGCTTCACTCTCTAGATAATGCATATTTTAAAAATGCCTCAAATCAAAGGATTATAAAAATACAAAACTAATTAAATATGCATACGAAGGTTATAATTTTAGCACTTGCTTTTCGCTATAAAATAGGTTCCTTTTTCTAAAGCATATTAAGAACAGAAAAGATTTATTATGCTCATGTTGTATGAATTAAACACTTGTATGAACTGCACTGAGCTGCCTTCATTAGACTTAAGGGTACTTGTTAGTAAAACATAATGTGCTTGAAGTACATACATATGTGTGAACGCTTGCATTTCCAAGGCCAGTTTAACATTTTTATACAATTTTATAATAAATAATTTATACTTTTTAAGAGAACTAAGATGGGACTCTAATCAATATATATGATAATTAGTCTGTCTTTGGTATGAGGTATTAGCTTCTCTTTAAATTGATGTGTACTGTATTATAATATGTCTGCAATCTAAGTTATAAGGTTGTGATATTATATAACACATTACATCATGGATAGTGCTTACAAAATCTATGCATAGCATTTATGAATACGGGCTCATATTAGTATCTATTGGCATATTACATACATACATTTAGACATATATATATATAGATACATATATGTGCACATATACACACATATATACATATATATGTACATATATGTATGTATGTCTATATATAAAACTTGCCTGGCATTGCTAAGAAAAAAATAAAGCTACATATTTCTACCTGGCTAGAAAACATATAACCATCAGCAGATTATTAACTAGCAATTAATTCTTAGTGTACTTCCTTCCCATTCTTTTTTTAAAAATTTTTTAATGTTTATTTATTTTTGAGAGATAGACAGAATGTGAGCAGGGGAAGGGCAGAAAGAGAAGCAGACACAGGATCTGAAGCAGGCTCCAGGCTCTGAGCTAGCTGTCAGCACAGAGCCCAACGCGGGGCTCGAACCCACGAACTGTGAGATCATGACCTGAGCCGAAGTTGGCCGCTTAACCGACTGAGCCACTCAGGTGCCCCACTTCCTTCCCATTCATAAGCCTTTTGCCATCTGAAAAGAAACAGATCTACTATATCCTTCCTAATGGTACTATCACTGCCACCAGTGATAATAACTATGTGTAAACACATTTTCTGTAACACATTATTACTATAACTATAGTAATAATAATGATGATGATGATAATGCTATCACTACTGCTGTCACTACAGTGCCTATAAAATCAATCTGCTTGGTATTTATGAACTATTTTCATATCAATTATCTTATTTCTTTCACATCAACCTTGTGATGTGAAAATATAGTCTTTAATGTTGAGGCATAGACGTATGCATTGAAGGTGGTAGAATAGGAAAATTAGATTTATTTGTCTCCTTATCTCTTGCAACTAAGACTTCCACTTTACTCTCTCTATCAGTAGGCCTTCTATGCATGTCTTTAGGAAATCTGAAGCAAGTATCTTCGAAATGCTTTTTCTGGGTTGGTGCTTGACAACCAACCAAACTTCAGCTGATGTGGGCCTGCCTCAATCCACCAGAAGCATCAACTGAGAACAATGTGGGTACCTTAAGGGCCAAACAGAAGTAGGGAACAAACAAAGAACGGATAAACCAAGGCTAAGAGAATGTGCCCTACTGTGTGATAGTCCAGATCACCTGGTTGGGCACGTGAACTCAGTCCGAACCGGCATGGGCATCCCAATGACTCTCACAGAGTTCAGAGTTTGGCAGGATATCTTCTCAAGCAACCTGGCAATGGTATCGAAAGATGTAGAAAGTGCTAAGAATCACTTGCTTCATCATGGTGCCTTCTCAAGGGGCAGCAATGCCCGTTCCCTTTCCTTCTGATTCACCAGGTGACCTGGATATGAAGCAACATTTCAGTTTACAGATTGCAGGAGACAAGTGTATAAAACACCCGGCAAGAACAAGGACCAAGAAACTGAAAAATGAATTTGGTGCCCTTTTGGCTGCTAAGCTGGTCGATGGTAATTGCTTACTCACCTCAAGCAAGAACTTGATGTAAATGCATGTTCTATGGCATCTTTCCAGGAGTTACAGAGAGGAAAGAAGGTGCAGTATTGTGCTTACATTACACCTTTTTCAACAACATTAAGTGGAAAGATTTGTGGAAGATTTCATCCTTTGAATACTGAAATTCAATCCAAACACTCAAAGATAACTTTCATTTTCTGACTTTCCCCCCAAGAAATTACAAGTTATCCTAACTAATTTAGACAAGCAACCCACATTTCCTTTCAGATAACTCTGTAATTATTTTGTAGACAAGGCTTGTAACACTTACTTGAAAGACTAGAAATCTGAGAAATGCACAATTCTCTAGCTGGAACTTCAGAAGGAATTCGGAAAGGGCCTCCTTCTCTAATAAATGGTTATTCAACCAGTGGGTAGAATCTCACTTCCTCCAACTTTAGGGAGAAACTCACCATAGACTAAACCTATTTTGGGCCAAGGACATTTTGATGAATAGATAATAAGAGACTTTCTGTAAATGCTAGAAGAGAGTTGAACTGTTCTTCATTTTGTCTCAGTTAGAAGTATTTATTTGCCCACCCAAAAAGCTTCCCAAAATATAGCTTATTGAGATTATTAAAAAAGATAAATATTTAGAAGGACACAACATACGCAACATATTTTTAGAAAATGTTGTTGATATTAGCAGCGGCAGCTGGTTGTTTATTTTATACAATTTTGAAACAAAGACCAATCGGGATAAATCCTACAAGTTCTCACTAATATACTGATTCAGGATATGATAGTTAATAATGCTTTCTTTTAACAAAGTAGATATTAGCTATTAGATATTATGTATTATAAGCAGATCAATGGATATCTTTAGAATAATACTTTCTCTTAAGTATACATATATATGATACACATGTAAAACCTGTATCTCATACATGTATGTATGTATGCATCCCATCAACATAGGCCATTTCAAACAACACTGAAATGTCTTGAAATAAAGTCTAGAATTATTAACTACATTATGTTCCTACATATATAATTATATGTGTCATGGATAGATTATGGGTGATCTATCCCCAATTCAATGCAATATGACACAACATTGTGTGTTGGAAAGAATTTAAAGTATTTGTGTCTTGGTTTGGTGATTTTGGGGGAGGAGTCGAGGAAATGGAGGTTTGCTTTAAATAGGGATAATTCTATGATTAGGTATCTTAACAAATCTTTTCTAGACGGAGGGAATACTAGAAAAAAATAAAGCTGTAAGGAAGCATCAATCATTTAAATTAACCAGGAGACGTTTGACATTTCTGTGGTTGGCACAGCACCCCATGCTTAGACAAAACTATCCAGTGGTCTTTTTCTTTACAGTCACAGAGAACCCTCACTTCATGATGACAGTCGGTGATACTGTTTTGGTGGGTCAAACAGGAGAAAACTGCATCTTAGCTGGGAGGGCTAAGTAAGCTCCTAACAACTAGCAGTACTGAGGGCCATTTGTAAGTGTCAGACCAAGTTCCTTAATGTCAGCAGCTACTTTTCTCTAGAAATAAATCTCTAGAGATATTCTATTTTCCTTCCGGAATGCCTTCCTTCTAGAAAAGATTTACCTTCTAATACCATTTTACTAACGAATTCCACAGTTCTCCATGGTGTGCAGTCTCCCTTGCTGCAATGAACAATAAACTCAGCCTGTTTGACTCCAGGTAAATTCCTAATGGTCTATTGTTGGGAAGGTATTAACGTACTTGAACATTTCATAACAATATCATGTGATGTGATTTTTTTGTTTATGTTTTATTAATTTTATTAATTTAATTTTGAAAAAGAGAGACAGAGACAGACAGACAGACAGAGCACAAGCAGAGGAGGGGCAAAGGGAGAGGGAGACAAAGAATCTGAAGCAGGCTCGAGACTCTGAGCTGTTAACACAGAGTATAAGGTGGTGCTTGAACACACAAACCATGAAATCATGACCCGAGCCGAGGTCAGATGCTTACCCTGACTGAACCACACGGGCTGCCTTGTGTGATTCAATTTTTTTTTTTTTTAAAATGCTTATTTATTTATTTTGAGGGACAGAGAGAGAGGAAGAGAGAGAGAGAGAGAGAGAGCATGCACACCTGTGTGCCCAAGCTGGGGAGGGTCAGAGACAGAGGAAGAGTGAGAGAGTGAGAGAGAGAATCCCAAGCAGGCTTCATGCTAGCGCAGAGTTCGACTCAGGGCTCAATCCCATGACCATGAGACTATGACCTGAGCTGAAATCAAGAGTCAGATGCTTAACTGAGCTACTCAGGCTCAATTTTTAATAATTATAGATATGTATATTTATAAATATATAATTATATGTTTTATTTTATGTATATATATAGAGAGAAGAGGGCTTTCACTTTTTACTCTTTTTAACTTACATATTTAATTAACATGTTTTTGTATTAATTTTGAAATTTCTTTTATTTTAAGTTTATTTATTTTGAAAGAGAGAGAGAGAGAGAGAGTGGTGAGGAGGGGCAGAGAGAGAGGAAGAGAAAGACAGTCTTAAGCAGACTCTGCACTGTGAGCGCAGAACTCAATGCAGGGCTTGAACTCACAAACCATGAGATCATGACCTGAGCTGAAATCAAGAGTTGGATACTTAACCCACTGAGCCACCTAGCACCCCTGAAATCACTTTTATTTTTACCTAATTATTCTTTTTGTATATTTTCTCTTATGTCTCCAGATCTTGTTAACAGTTAGAAATTGTATTGGTTGGAGGCAAGAGAGATATCCCTATCTATCTGGCCAAAGAAATGAGGGGTTGTTTCACTGAATGTAAAGGAAACCCATGTGTAGAGCATGGTGGTAAACAGAACTCTAAGATGGCCTCCACACTTCTCACCTCCTGATACACTTACCTTTTGAATGTGGATAGGACCTGTAAATATGATGGGACGTCACTCTTACGATTAGAATACAGTATGTGCGAAAGATGAAAGGACTTTGCAGATGTAATTGAGAACCAAAACCAGTTGTTTTTTTAAATTAATCAAAAGGGAGATTAGGGGTGACTGAGTGGGTCAGTTGTTAAGCATACAACTGTTGATCTCGGCTCAGGTCATGATCTCACGGTTCGTGGGATCAGGGCCCACGTCGGGCTCCAAGCTGACAGTGCAGAGTCTACTTGAGATTTCCCCCACCCTCCTCTCCCAAGTAAATGAATATTTTTTTAAAAGGGGAGATTATCCTGAGCCACCTGACATCATCAAGCAAAAGCCTTTAAAAGAGGGAATGGGCTCTTTCTGAAGAGAGAGATTCTTCTACTGGCCTTGAAGAAGCTAACAGCCATATTGTGAACTGTGGAGATGGCCATATGGAAAACTCCTGAACTAGATGCTGAGAGTGGTCCCTGACCCAACAGATGGCATGAAGATGGGGACATGAGCCCTATAACTACAATGAAATAAACTATGCCAATATCCTGAATGATCTTGGAAGCAGATTCTTTCCCCAGGCAACACTCTTGATGAAAATGCTGGCTGGCTGACACCGTGACTGGAACCTTGTAAGACCCTCAACAAAGGACTCAGACCTATAGATTCATGACCCAAGCAAACTGTGAGGTAATAGATAGGTGTTGTTTTAAACTGATAAACATGTGGTAATTTGTTAGGCAGCAATCTATAATAAAACAGTTCAGAAATCATATGATGGCTCTAGACAATAATCAGAGGTCCCGACAACTCTTCCATCTACGCATTGTGCGTAGCTCCCTCCTCAAGATTATCCCAACGACACAAAATGGCTGCTGGAACTCAGGCCACAATGCCAGTTTCTAATAAAGAAGAAGAGAGAAAAAAAGGGGTGCCTGGGTGGCTCAGTCATTTGGGCTTTTGACACTTGATTTCGGCTCAGGTCATGATCTCACAGTCACAAGATCACGCCCCACATTGGGCTCTGTGCTGACAGTGTGTAGCCTGCTCAGAATTTTCTCTCTCCCTTTCCCCCTGCCTCTCTCTGGCTCATTCTCTTTCTCTGTCTCTGTATCTCTCAAAATAAACAAACTTTTTTTTGAAAAAGAAGAAAAAATAAGAGCAAGGGAGGTACATGCTAGTTTGTTACCCTTTTAAAAGTAGTTTTCCCAGAAGACTCACACATAAACTTGGGCCTTATTGGCCACTCCTTTCTACAAGAGAGGCTAAGAAATAGAGAGTTTTACCTGGAAATATCTAATAAGCAAGCAAACAGAAATAGAATTCTTTTAGCAGGAAAGAAGGGGCATGGAAATTTGGTGAGCAAATAGCAGCCTCTTCCACAAAGAGAAAAACAAAGGAAAAACACATTTCCTAACATCAGTCTTTCAGTGTCCTTTTATTCTGCTTTAGAACTTTTCTGGTAGGAGATAATTGTCTAAGCATAATGCCTACAGAAGTTCAGAAGCATATTAAAAAGCAAGCTTCTGACCAGAGTACAAAGAAAGGTTTCTAATAAACACTAATAATCTTGATCTTGCTCCATTTCTTCTGCCCCCAAATGCCTCATATCCTTTCCTGTCTTTAACAGCTATTTGTTCACCTACTGGATTCATGCCCTGTCCTGTGGAAAGACCCACAAATATGAGCCACAGGCAAAGAAACTGCCTGATCCTTTCCTTGATCGGAGATGTTTAAGCCCCAAATCCAAAACACGCAGAGAAATAAATAGTATATTTAAGCACCATCATGTTTAAGTCATTTCCCTTTACCCTTCTCTCTGCCTCACAGCAAAGCCTGTGTGTTGCCAAATGATTAGACAGAACGAACATGACTATTTGAGGATCAGATGTGAAGGTCAGCTCATGGCAGTTTAAGTTTACAAGGAAGAAGGGATGACCTAGGAATATTCTGGAGACCCATCCACAAGGGAACGAAAGAGGAAGGTAGCTAACCTGTCTGGGAAGCCTTAGGCTGCAGCCAGGTATTGAAGGCAATGCCCAAAAGGTATAAAGAGCTCAGACATAAATAAGGTTGCCTCTAGGACCCACTGGAAGACAGAACAGAGTGTTCAGGATTTTTTCTCTGGTGAACCAGCCAGCTACTGACATCTGAGGAAATTCAGCCAAAGGCAGCAGGATTCCAACAATCTGGGAGATCATTTGATAGTTCATCAAAGATTTGCAGAAAGCCAATGGTTTATAAGAATGGCACAGAAATGGACTCTCTCCTTAAAAACTTAAGAGTTTCTGGGGATAGTAAAAAGCCTATACCTAAAAAAAGAAAGAAAAGAAAGAAAAGAAAAGACCTATACTTAAACAAAGTACCCAGGGGCCCCTAAAAGTAGAAAGTGATATAAAAAATTACTCCCAAAGTGCTGGAAATTACAGGATTAATTTCACTTTGGGGAAATCAGCATATTTGAGAATCCTTCTTCAAAGTGTATGCTGGGATCCCTAACCCTGATATAGAAGAGGACAGAAAAGTGCCTAAGAATATAGAATTAGGTCACAGAAAATTCATATTGGTATTCTTGAGCAATTACTGACAAAACACCAAGGAGGCTAATGGTTGAGGCATGTTTCTTCTTCTTTCTCTTTAAACACCTGATTTCATCACATACAATGCTGTGCATTTGCCCTCTGCCCTATAATCTCACTGTAAAAAGTATATAGCAATGATAATAATCATAACAATAATAATAAAGATCAAGACAATGTAATACTCAGTCTCTTCCTTGAGATCTATTTTTAATAGCTTTATGAAAGTATAATTGACATATGATAAACCGTACATATTGAAAGTGTATGATTTTGTAGATGGGTTGATAGATATTTGTGAAACTATCACTTCAGTTAAAATAATGGAACTGCAAAAGATATATCACTTCCAAAATTCTTCTGAAGCCCCTGGGCAATCCTTCCTGCTGCTTCTCTCTGTCACCAACCCCCGCCCTCAAGCCCTAATGGATCTGTCACTACACGTTAATCTGTATTTCCTAGAATTTTATATAAGAGGAATCACACAGTGTTCATTTGTTGGTCTTACTTCTTTCACTCAGCATATTTATTTTGGGCTATATCCAGGCAATAGCACATTACAATAGTTCATTTCAGTGTTGAGTGGTATTTCAATGTATACCACTTGTTTTTAGGTCTATCATTTTTGTTTCCTTTTCAACGTCTTTCTTTTTTCTTCCTTATTGTCAGCATGCTTATTATAAAAGCTTTCATAATGGTACAAAAAAGATAAAGAAATGGTAAAAAAAAAATCACCTAAAGAAAGCTTCGGTATTTAAGTTAAAAACCAACAAACAAAACTAAGCAAAAATACCTGAAGACTAAAGAGCCTTTATGAGTGTCAAAGAAGTAAGTCTCTACCAGAGTTAGTAAGTGAGGCTTGATGGAACCAAGGGATGCTATTTCGGTCGTGGTCCCCATGCTTAGAGCCCTGTAAACTGCTTAGGGCTACTTATTCATTCTTCCAAAGGCTGTCACGTAACGTGTTTTGCTTGTACAGAACGCATCTCAGTAAGGAGAGATTATGAAATAAGGCAAGATGCTAAATCTAGAAACACAAGGGGAATATTTAACAAGAAAAATCCTGGAGACCCCCAGGTTAATAGCAACCAATAATCCTTATAAATCAGTAGTACCCCAAAGTTCATGGCATGAGCACAGAGAGAGAATGCAACTTTGATTACCATGTGTTATCAGGAGTTTTTCTACTATTGAACCGCAAATAATTTCTTTTAACATTAAAAATCTTTAGGTGTTCCCCATTGGCCAGGATATACACTCAGCAGCTGCTGCTTTTAGCCTAGCAAAGATCAACCTGACCTTGGCCAATCGGCTTGTACTTTGAAGAGTGTGCTTTGTGAAACACGTGAGTGGAGAAGTATTCATGCTTGGCAGAATTTGCTGTCTCTTTTGCTCAGTATTTTACCATGATTAATCCCCATCCATCTCTCTCTGGTACTGCTGCTACCAATGCTGTCAGTCTCATATTTCTTCTCTATAGCAGACGCCTTTCAAATGTTGCTGGATTCTGGCTGGGTGTGACCTTTTATGGGGCACTGCTGCCTCCTATCAGGCTTTTATGGGCCTGGTGGTTTGTGCACATGTGCAGACATTCTGACCCTGTGACCTCCAGAATAGATTCTATGAGAACAACTATATCTGACCTTTTCAACATTTTGGACACCCAAACTCTCTCAAGTGCATGGGCGTGAAGAATGCTCCCTGGTGGTTTGAGCTTACATTCTTCTCACATCAGAAGAAACCGTCTACCAGAACGTGAAGCCAGGTCAGAAATGCTAACCTAACAGCAATGTTGCCGGCAGCCCTTCAAGTTGCTGGCATGAATTGGAACATAAGGTGGTGTTTTCACATTTCATTCTTCTCTTTATTGTGGTTTAAGTGAGCAGTTCCAAATATATGAATTACACTTTCTGTATAATCCAATCGGTAGAAAAAGCAATGGCTAACAAAACTCCAGAAAACTTTGAAGCAATTTTTTAAAAGTCCTTCTCAGATCTAGTCTTTTCTCTTTTCTGAGTCCAGAATCCTGTTGTTAAATGAGTCTATCTATCTATCATCTATCTATCAATATATCTACATAGATACAGATATAGATGATATAGAGACAGATATAGATATACATATAGATATAGATGTAAAGATAAGAATCAATTTTATGGTATTTCTAGCACTTTTGGTCTGCCTTTTCTGTGCTGTTAGTTTACCAACAGTGAGCTCACTTGTGTCAGCATTGTAGTATACGTTTAAAGATGGAGTGCAACTTTTAGAAACTACCAGTCTACTTTTCACAAAAAAAGAAAGAAACCTTTTAAATCGGAGTTATAAAGCTTTAAATGCCAGATTAAAGTAACTATATAAAGTCTACTTTTTCTCAGTCTTCACCTACTTTCCCAGCCTCCATCTACTACTAATAAAGATCCGGATTCTGCCCTTCAATGCACAGTCTAGGACAGACTGGGTCACTGAAGCCTGTTCCTTTCCTTTGTTTTGCTTGACATTTACCTCACTCTTCTCTTCCCTCAATAAGCTTTCTCTTTACCTTCTCAAAATTGAATACTTTTCCTATCTTAGTCTAACGCCTATTTTCATCCTCTCTTTTGATGGCTGACAAAGTCATGTATGCTCAATTCATTCTCTGCCACCTTATTCAAAAAGAGTGATTTTCCATCCACTCACCTTGTCTTCCACTTTGAGAGCTGTACTCATGTGTCTTCCTCACTGCTGGCATAATTCAAAATAATATATTTGCCCTGGCACAGCATACCAAAGTCACGTCAGCAATTCTGCAATGGCTTGGGTACAGGATTATGGAGAGGCACATCATGTGACATTCGGGACAGCTAAATCAACATCTCCGCATTGGAAGGCATACACCATCAAGACCTATAAGATACGATTTCAATTTTTTCATACACCATACAAAACTCCAAAACCAGTGAAACTATATACAGTGCTTCTCATCACTATCACCAAT